AGCATAAAAAATAAAAAAAACCTTTTATTGTAAAGCAACATCATATTTCATACAGAACGTTGCAATCAAAATCTTCAAAAACGTGTTGCATGATCTAAATATTGAAAACTTCAAGTTTAAACCTCCTCGTTGCACCTGTGCATGATCCCCGTTCATATATAATCCGGTTTGCCACTAGTGACATGAACATTATCAATAAAACTCATATGCAAAATGTGTTGAGTCATCAATTGGAATCACAACTTCAAAATGCTGATGGATACAGTCGAGGATTATGCCAGGCAAACACGAAAAAAAGACGTTGATGCTCTTTCCGTAAAGGCTGGGCTGTGAGGTAATTCATACAAATTAAAATTAAAACAAACTGAATGGGTCTATGAATACACATACTGCATCGATTGTTACAGACCCAAATGTTGCTAAGCACGGTCCTATCGCCATGACAAGTATGTTGTTGTCCCTGCAGATTACGCTCCAAACAACATCGTTTTTGTGCGTTAATTACATCACAGAAACTGCTTGATTAAGTACATATACACCCGCAAAACTTATTAAGAAGGAAATCCTGCATAATCCGACATCTATTGTATGTTCCATTGGAATTTCAACAAAAGATGAAGAAATTTATCTTCATTCACTGTAATGGATACCTAAATCACATTAGTGTCTGTACAAAAAAGTTATATTGCTGGTCTTCAAGGTGCGCCAGGAAATCACTTTCTAAATGTCTCATCATTAATCAAAGCCGGACTTCAAAGTTATTTTGAAATCATCTATTCTAGGGGTGGCTTGAATCAGATGCGGAAACCAAATCCAAAGATATGTTAGCGTCCAATCTAAGTTTATTTCCTCTAGCAATAATATTAAAACATGTGACTTTTCTACCTTTTACATAAGTTTTCCTTATTCCAAATTAAAAGACAAATTGAAAGAACTGTTTCTGCTGCGTTTCATTAAATAGATATGGCCAACATAGAAACAAATATCTTGTTTTAGGTAGGGATAAATCGTAAAAAATCACTCTGATTCAAACAAAATATTCTCTGAAACTCACTTGCTAGATATCTTGATTGACAACATATTTCATGCTTTTTTTATGTTTTGAGGATGTGCTTGTCAACAAACAATTGGCATCCCAAAAGGAACCAACTGTGCTAACATTATCCTTAACTTTACGTTCCTCTCTGATGACCTCTTACTAAACAATTCAAGACAATGGTGAATGAAAAAAACACAACAGATACAGTTAAGTCTTACTCATATCTTGACTTACTTCTGGAAATTCACAATAAAAGGTATTTTGAGAACAATACTTCACGAAAAAAGAGATCATTTCATCTTCCCGATTGCAAACTTTTCATTACTTTGTAGCAAAAATCTAGCTGCGCCTACACATAGAGTATATATATCCCTGTTGACACGATATTCTAGAGCTTGGAATTACTATCATGGAATCCCTGATAGAGGATTGATGCTAACAAGGAAGCTAGCAAACCAACAGTTACAAGTAACGCAATCACAAGTTGGTTGACCGTTATAAAATATCTGTTTCACAGATGACGACGAATATGTTCCAATTGTTGTAACCACAATCCCGTCCTCTTCTCGAAAGTGACCTACCGAATTAGACTTATTGGGTTGTACTTACATAGGCAACTTGACGGGTGCCAAATGTGAAGCATGATCTGCTCATCCTTCCGGAGCACCTGAGATTGTTCCCGGTTTTTGGTGGGGTTCGTAATTCCGGTCTTTAGTTTTATATGTTGTGTTTTGTATACTGTTGTTTGTCAGTTTGTCGTTTTTTCTTCTTTTTTCCGACATGAGTGTGAATATTCCTTTGGTGCATTTTGCCTCTCTTTACTGCGGTTGTCTTGCTTATCATACGGATTTCAAATGTTGTGGTAGACACATAATGAGGGATGAAAAATATATAATAAAATATTTTGATACAGTTGTCCTGCTGGTAAAGTGACGTCAAGATGGATGCCCACCTATTGTCCCCCTGTAAAGTAAATAATATGGTTTATATGACGAACACACTCTGTAGCACTTTTTGTAGAACGAATATGGGTTAACTATTTGTTACATGATTACCTGTAGAATGAAGGTTTTGAATACTTAGACGACCGAAATTGTATATAAATGTTTGATATAAATATTTGTATTTAATATATTTAAAATGACAAGTTGCCGATCCGTAAAAAAAATAGAAAAACTATCAATGAACCAATTTTTTGTAAAATGATTTTTTCAAGTCACTTCGAGTTCAGCTTTAATTTGACAGACGGACACGTAGTAAAGAAGTAGTAAAAACTTCTGAAATATTCCTAAGCACATATTACACTCAAATGAAAATACCCGGTTCTGCTAATAGGAAACGTGCAAAGAAATATGTCCGCGAGGAAACTACAGCATATTCGAGCAAAACATACTCTTTGCTGAAGTATCTTTTGATATGCTTGTATTTTTCTTATGAAAGCGTTTATCATGTTTATTATCAAATGAAACACTTAAATATTTTATTTTTAAGAAACACTGTGTTCTCAGTACCCTTGTTACCACAATGGAACGTGTACAGTGTTTGAAAGTTCAATCAATTGTGCATGTGAAGATGGCTATAACGGATTAAGATGTGAAGGTTGTAAACATTTTTATTTACCGGAACTAATTCTTTTTGTTCGTATTGAAACTACACAATAAATATATCATTCGAGATATTTACATGTTCAACAATTAGCTGCTGGGTGCATAAATCAACAAACAATTATTCAACGAATTATTTTGTTATTATTTTTGGAGTCAACTTTCTTTTTTGTATAATTTTCACATTTAAATTTGAACTTAATAGTTTGTAAAAGAAGTTATTACTCAGATTGTTTATGCTACCTTACCATGCTTTCGGAACATTTGTTTTACCAATATCTAAGTTTTACTTGCCAACAAAAATGCTCCATTTATTTTACCAAATATATGACAACCAAAATATTGAACATGTAAATGTTTATTTATAGATAACACCGAGGTAACAGGTATTTTTTTTTGGCAACAACCAGTATCTTATTTTTGTTTTCGATATAACGTCTGCCTAAAGTAAAAATGATTGCAGTAGTAAGGTAACTATAGAGTATTCTGTTTTATATTAAGATACAGTGCAACAATGCATGATTGTATTATGAATTCGATCGGACTGATTGTGTTTTAACACAGACAGTATGGTGTTCATATCAATTTTTCATGTCCGACTGGATACGTTGAAATTCAGTCACGCGTAACGGATTATGAACGTTTTAGTTATTTGTTGATTCATATGCATTGTATGCTGATAAAAGATGGCACAAATCAGACGGAAAACATATTATATACATGTATATTCTGACAGACATTCTTTCTAATAATGTAGACATTCCTACCTGACGAACATACTCCCTGAAAACTATTTATAATTGCAATCATCAAGAGCTTTTAGCTGTATGATAAAGAAATTAGTACAATTTATGTCAACCATCAATGTTTAGTTTTTATTCCTGACTGCATACCCTTCAAATGAAAATACCATGAATTAACTCCTTCTGATGGATTACCTAGTTTTGAATGTCTCTACATGTATATATGCGCGGAATTGTGATTGTTGATTGTTTGTTTAACCTACAGTGGGGAAAAGTTTTCTGCATATTTCAGGTGAAAATAGAATAAATGAAATGGTAAAAAATGGAATGACCTGGATAATACACAGATAATTTAATATTAATCAGCTTCAAGAATTCAACCATGGAAACTCCCCAAAATGTTTGTTTTCTTTTATTCAGCAAACATCATAATATTCTTTTAAGGTGTATCTTGGATTTAACGCCCATTTCTGAATTATGTTTCGCTACAAACGAATCGTTGACATATCTTATGTCCTTTCACCTTGGGTTTTTCTTTCTATTGAAAAATCACAGGCCTCTCAGTCAAACAATTGTTTAGTACTATGATCGAATTCAGACTTAGAAATCAACTATCCAAAATCTCTGTTTAAGTGTTTCGAGGCAAATTTTTGTACAACGAGTACAAAGAAAATACTACCTCGATTTTTGGTGAGGTTTTTGTTGCTCAGGCTTTAGTGTTTTAAGTTGTGTTTTGTGTACTGCTTTTTGTCTTTTGATCGTTTGTCGTTTTTGCCATCACATTGTCAGTTTGTTTTTGACTTTAATAGGCTTTCGAAATCTTTCGCTTTTATTGTAGACCGAAAGCCAGGCGCAAATACGTATATATATACACTTTTTTGGTCTTTTGGAAAATGTTGTTTGTGCTGTATTTAGACCCCTCTACCAAGAAATTTGCATGCACATGTGTAAAAATTGCGGTTTTTATCCAACGCAATCATAGGTTTGAACGTTGTTTTTAATTTAAACTTGTTTATATTTTTTCCGTTTGGGCTTGTATTATATTTGCCTTCGGGTCTATATGATCCGTTCATCCTATTTCGACTCTTCAAAATTCAAGAGTCTATCCTAAATTGAAGTAAATTATATGGCCTTCCAAATACCGTTTCGATTCCTAACATCACTGACGACATTACATGTCGAAATCCGGATATGGTGTACTAATTTTTACACCTTTTGTTTGCGGTATATCATCTTTTCCGCAAGTTTATTGTTTTCTGTTTGGTATTAAATTAATGGTTAGGATCCATTTTGTTACATCTGGTGAACCGTTTATTTGGCAATTGCAAATGGCAGTCAGCAGGGTTTAAGCACATCCGTTGTTCGACCTGCTAGTCAAATGCGTTTTGTTAAAATATACTTTTTCACTTTTTTGGTCTTTTGGAAAATGTTGTTTGTGCTGTATTTAGACCCCTCTACCAAGAAATTGTTTTGCATACACACGTATAATAATTGCGGTTTTTTTCCAACGCAATCATAGGTTTGAACGTTGTTTTCAATTTAGACTTTCTTTTTAGATCTCTTCTTGGTGTTATGACATTATGTTTGTATATATATATGCTAATTTCTTTTTAGTCACACCATGCAGCAGTTCACCTTGTGTAAATGGTGGAACATGCACACCTACCGGAAGTATTTACGTTTGTTTATGTCCGACTGGATATAATGGAAACCAGTGTCAAGGTTATTAACGTTTTAAAATATTACATATTTCATGCATTAATAAGTTTGCATTGAGCTTTTACAAATAAAAGATTGCATAAAAAGGGATGACAAATCTATACAAAAAAAAAACTAAACTAAACAAGCCTTAATAATTTTAGTTGAACACACATGTCATAGCGTAAGAGAAGTTTATTTTGAATTAATAAAGGTCATATCACACATGTTTGACATCTGGAACACGATGTTTGTGGTAAGAACACATTTAACAATAAACATTGCATGACCGATACTGCTTACTTCAAGACTATTCGTTTTTCTTCTGAAACTAAACACGAAAAGCAATGACGACATCACGTCGGCAAATACAATTATAATATCAGATAAACAGGAGTTTATTATATTGGTGTTTGTTGCACTTCAGTTTTCCTCTTATAGTTGATGTGTTTCCCTCTGTTTTGGTTTGTAACCCGGATTTGTTTTCTCTCAATCGATGTATGACTTTTGAACACCGGTATACTACTGTTGCCTCTATTTATGACAATATGTTTGTATATATATGCTATCTTTTTTCCAGTCACACCATGCAGCAGTTCACCCTGTGTGAATGGTGGAACATGCACACCTACCGGAAGTATTTACGTTTGTGTATGTCCGACTGGATATAATGGAAACCAGTGTCAAGGTTATTAACGTTTTAAAATATTACATATTTCATGCATTAATAAGTTTGCATTGAGCTTTTACAAATAAAAGATTGCATAAAAAGGGATGACAAATCTATACAAAAAAAAAACTAAACTAAACAAGCCTTAATAATTTTAGTTGAACACACATGTCATAGCGTAAGAGAAGTTTATTTTGAATTAATAAAGGTCATATCACACATGTTTGACATCTGGAACACGATGTTTGTGGTAAGAACACATTTAACAATAAACATTGCATGACCGATACTGCTTACTTCAAGACTATTCGTTTTTCTTCTGAAACTAAACACGAAATGCAATGACGACATCACGTCGGCAAATACAATTATAATATCAGATAAACAGGAGTTTATTATATTGGTGTTTGTTGCACTTCAGTTTTCCTCTTATGGTTGATGTGTTTCCCTCTGTTTTGGTTTGTAACCCGGATTTGTTTTCTCTCAATCGATGTATGACTTTTGAACACCGGTATACTACTGTTGCCTCTATTTATGACAATATGTTTGTATATATATGCTATCTTTTTTCCAGTCACACCATGCAGCAGTTCACCCTGTGTAAATGGTGGAACATGCACACCTACCGGAAGTATTTACGTTTGTGTATGTCCGACTGGATATGATGGAAACCAGTGTCAAGGTTATAAACGTTTTAAAATATTACATATTTCATGCATTAACACGTTTGCATTGAGCTTTTACAAATAAAAGATTGCATAAAAAGGAATGACAAATCTATAAAGAAACAAAACTAAACAAGACCTAATAATTTTAGTTGTACACACATGTCATAGCGTAAAAGAAGTTTATTTTGAATTAATAAAGGTCATATCACACATATTTGACATCTGGAACCCCGTGTGTGTGGTTAGAACACATTTAACATTAAACATTGCATGACCGATACTGCTTACTTCAAGACTATCCGTTTTTTCTTCTGAAACTAAACACGAAAAGCAATGACGATATCACGTCTGCAAAACAAAATTATAATATCAGATAAACAGGAGTTTATTATTTGGTGTTTGCTGCACTTCAGTTTTCCTCTTATGGTTGATGTGTTTCCCTCAGTTTTGGTTTGTAACCCGGATTTGTTTTCTCTCAATCGATGTATGACTTTGAACACCGGTTTCTACTGTTGCCTCTATTTATGACAATATGTTTGTATATATATATGCTATTTTTTTTCCAGTCACACCATGCAGCAGTTCACCCTGTGTAAATGGTGGAACATGCACACCTACTGGAAGTATTTACGTTTGTGTATGTCCGACTGGATATAATGGAAACCAGTGTCAAGGTTATTAACGTTTTAAAATATTACATATTTCATGCATTAAAACGTTTGCATTGAGCTTTTACAAATAAATGATTGCTTAAAATAGGGATAACAAATTTATAACACTCAAAACTTAACAAGCGCTAATCGTGTTAATGTTACACACATGTCATGGTGTAAAAGAAATTTATTATAAATTAATAAAGGTCATATCACACATATTTGACATCTGTTTCCCGATGTTAGTGGTTAGAACACATTAAACATTAAACAGAGCATGACCTATAGTGCTTACTTCAAGACTATCCGTTTTTCTTCTAAAATTAAACACGAAAAGCAATGACGATATCACGTCGGCAAACACAATTATAATATCAGATACACAGAAAACACAAGGTAAAACAATAATGAAGACAAACAGAATTACAACAGCAATAACATATTACTCATAAAACATAGGTAAGCTATATAACCTCTACTGAAAACCAGGGATGTCAAGGTGCGTTTGTTTGTCTTGCTTAATTTCTAGAAGATGTCGTTATCATCGTTTTAAATGCGGTAATATTAACGTACATGTAACCATTTGGTAGTATTTTATATACCTAAAAACAATTTTTCAGTTACATTGTGGTTATAGAGAGATAGTTTTTACCTCTTGCGATTAATGCAAGTGCATTTTTTGTTTGTTTATGAAATGTTTGTTTTCAGTTAAACCGTCCTGTGACAATGGTTGGAAGATGCATGATAACAACTGTTACTACTTCAGCAGTCTTGATAAAAATTGGAATGATGCAAAGGTAAAACATAGACTGGTTCCCTTTCCTTTATTTGTTTAACTCTGACTCAAATACCCTTATGTTGAAGCCTAAGGTAAACAAATCTTTATTTCAGTTGATTATAAACAACTTAAAATTAGTTATAGCTGCTATCGTCAATGTAACACAATCGTAAGCAGAGTGCTTAAGGTTAAACAAAAACATTCATCAATTCCCAATGGTCTGAAAAGTATGAAATTAAAAGTTTCTTAAAGAGAAATCAATTTAAATTATGTCAGGACAGCAAAAAAAAAAATAGATAAAATGTATGGTTAGGAAAAAGAAAGTATTCATTTCTTTAAACTAGAATTTCTGACAAACACGATGATTTCAACTTTCTTATTGTAAAATACTCATTTATAAACAGTAACATGCTATCTGCTACGTCCTATGGCGTTTATATAATTATCTCAATTAAAACAGTATGCTACTGTACATTTATACTATATGGACTTCGTTAACAGGGTTTGCTCCCAACAGATATATGAGGAAGAACGACTGGAATCGTCACTAAATAAGCTTTACGGTCACCGTCACAAATTTGTTGACTGATACGATGTATCGGTGTCCTAACTCACCAGCGACAGGTTATTGCCGTCTCTAGATAACTGTATAGTCGTTTGATCTGATCTATTATTTTACCTTTTGTGTACTTTAGTTTTTATTTTATTTTAGAAAGCTTGTAAAATGCAAAATAGCATGCTGACAGACGCAACATCAATGAGTGAGATTAATTTTCTTAGAACAAATGCGAAAAAGTTTCAAAAAAGTATGTATTGGAATCCGAAGAAGTTGTCTACGTTATAAGACTGAAATATTTTGCCTATCAATAAGGGTTTATAATTCAAAGTCATATAAGATCATGACCTCGATTTTCTGATAAGGATAAAGCTTAAATAAAGTCCATTTTTCAAACTTTGTTTCTTCCATTATTTTCATTGACATATTGTTTATGGTAATTGTTGAGCCTATTTATATGTAACACCATTCCGTGTACTTATTCATTTCTGTCAAATTATGTAATCTATAGACGTTAATAAAACTATCTTTCAAGAGTGAAATAAAATTCTATCGTTAAACATGCTCTGAAATACCTGTTTAACTGCATATGCATAATTGTTTAAGTGTTTTGCAAGAACAACAATAACGTGAATGTTGTTACATTTGAATCATGTAATAATGTTTAGTGAAAATAGTGTAACATTGGTGCTACCTCAAAATCTTGTCACTTTTCTATTTGATATGTTTCAAATTTATTGATTCCTTGATTTCACTTATTCTAAGAGGGTACCCTTTCAATCATGTAAACAAATCTTTGAACATATTTTTTATCTATGCTAACATTGAATGTGATTTTATTTCACAAATCAGAATATAACTAAATATGTATGACTATACATTTACGGACACTTTTTGTCCTACGATATATTGTTAGATTGCACAAGGTCAATATTTCTAGGACTGTTTATGGCGTTTTAAGACTATCAAAAATGACTGTGTACATATATGCATGGTTTGTAACTATCTGAATAGACAATGGCTTCAAACTAATTTTAATAGTTTGATATTACGTTTTGTCCAAAGGAAAAGGATGATCGAGCGTTTATATACCTCTAAACCCCCTCCTGATTAAGTAAGTGTTTGTCTCAAATCAGTAGCTTGTGATGCTGTGGTTGTAGTTAGTTATTGTTTTTTGTATTTGTTTTCTCGTTTGAATTGTTTTCTTTATTTTCAAGCCGGAGCATTTCTCATTGATGGAGGTCGTACAGTTCCTTATACTCGTCTACATATTCCGTTATTGTTCTCTGATGGGTTGCCAAGCAATCAACATCCCATTTGTTTTTATTCTAGACAGAACATGAACATTTCCTTTTTCATACTTTCTTCGTTTTTACGCCTTTTGTTTGTTGTTGTTGTTGTTGTTGTTGTTGTTGTTGTTGTTGTTGTTGTTGTTCTTCTTCTTCCCAAATACAGTGCAGTCCTCTAGTTGAGAATTATCGCACATCTTCAAGAATAAGATGTCTTGCACTGGGTAGTCGTTATTGTATGATGATATCACTATCAGTAGTTTGGTACCAAAGCTGGTGTATTGTTAATTCTTTTGTGTACTGTACACATAGTAGCCAGTGTTTCGGATTGTCACGACTTTAATGAGACGTTTTCATATTGAATAATCAGTTGATGAATACGATTTCTTCATTTAAACAAATTTCAGTTATTTAAGGTAATCATATAATTCAATAATTAATTCTTTATTAAACAAATGTTTTACAACATATAGGTACATGTATAATCAATATATACAAAATATAGATTACAAAAATATACGATTGTTAATTGTCAAAACAAATAATATTAAAAGGAAGGTTGTAAATTAAATATAGAAAAAACTTCTTTCTAGATTTTTCAAATATGTTTCAGCTTTTTGGCTTGATGGATCAGATCGGGCCATAGAGGGTGTGTGGGTATGGACAAGTAGTGGACAGAAGTTCTCAGTTACTAATTGGTTTACACGTACTTCACAAGAACCAAATAATATGAACGGAAACGAGAATTGTCTGCAAATATATAACAAACATGATTTTGAATGGAATGATGACAACTGTTTAACAAGGCATAGGTATATATGTAAAAAAACGTAAGTATTTCCTAAATCCTAATTCCTTATCATATTGGGAAACGTTCTCTCGTCATTTGTTTGTAATGACTTAGCGGAGCAAAATAAGAAGAAGCTAGAGATTTTATTTTTTATAGAATTTAAAACACGAATTCGGAAAATTTGTATATGGAGTTATGACACACAGTATTTTATTTTTATCCAACCTAAAGCTAGGCCCACCTTTTTTATGAGCAGGTTTTTATACAAGGTAATGTAGGGTCTTTTGTTTTTGATTTGTTTTTTTTCCGTTTTGCTATGTGTTTACGCTTTTGTAAGCGTGATATGTTTACACCATTTTTTTTAATGATAGAAAAGCACGTATCGTGTGTGCTTATCATTGAATTTCTATTTTCTGGGGACGGTCGTTTATCTGATTTCTCGCTATAGGAAGATAGATGTCAGTCGATCTCATTGCATAAAATGACATTTACCTATTCCTTTGCTTCTTTCTACAAGGAGTTTTACTTGGGCTGCATATTGTTCGTTCTCATTCAAGAGCAATATATCTGATCATTTGAACATCACTGGTTCGCAAAATAATTCGAAGGTACACTTTGTAGCATCATGACATTAACACCGTTTTTACACAAAGCATCTACTGTCTCTCCTAGAATCTTTCAAATAATAATTTTACTTGAAAACACCAGAATATATGTTTAAATGATTAGATAAAAAATGTATATATTTCTATTTCAGATTGATGTGAGATTTGCAACAAAGAAAGAACAGACCACTAGCTAACATTAGATATAAAAACTACAAAGTCCGAAAATATATCTAAAATTTAGGTAAAATGACACTGATAGATTAAGCCAGTACACATCCTCTCTGGTATGGACAGATGTTCCGAAAAAGTTAACGTTTTTTTACCTGGCCTAATCACTCATTCAAATTGAACAGATGAAATAATATATTCAAAAAATTAGTTCGTCTCATTTTCTCATTTCATCCCCATACATATTTATAAATTAATGATCACGAGAAATAACAAAAAGAAAACTTACACTATAATCAAATGGGACTGTATTTATGATAACCAAAATAAGTTCATAAAATTGTGGTCCTTTGCCCTCATAGCCTAAGCAATAAAAGCCTTATCACTCTGTTCATTGTGTCGTCCAGTTCTTCTAAATTTCTGTAACCAATATAAAATTACTAGTCAAATTATGAAGTCGGAAATACATGGTTTGAGTTTCCTCGTAGATTATTGATCTTTTAAAACGCTTATAAAATTGAGAATGGAAATGGGGAATGTGTCAAAGAGACAACAACCCGACAATAGAACAGACAACAGCAGAAGGTCACCAACAGGTCTTCAATGCAGCGAGAAATTCCCGCACCCGGAGTCGTCCTTCAGCTGGCCCCTAAACAAATATATATACTAGTTCAGTGATAATGAACGCCATACTAAACTCCAAATTGTACACAAGAAACTAAAATTAAAAATAATACAAGACTAACAAAGGCTAGAGGCTCCTGACTTGGGACAGGCGCAAAAATGCGGCGGGGTTAAACATGTTTATGAGATCTCAACCCTCCCCCTATACCTCTAGCCAATGTAGAAAAGTAAACGCATAACAATACGCACATTAAAATTCAGTTCAAGAGAAGTCCGAGTCTGATGTCAGAAGATGTAACCAAAGAAAATAAACAAAATGACAATAATACATAAATAACATCAGACTACTAGCAGTTAACTGACATGCCAGCTCCAGCCTTCAATTAAACTGATTGAAAGATTATGTCTTCATCATATGAATATCAGGCACAATCCTTCCCGTTAGGGGTTTAGTATCGTACCATCATAACATATATGAGAAGAACATAACCCGTGTCATGCCAACAACTGGTTTTTAAATAAATGTGTTTAGTGCCGATGCAAAGATCCTATAAGTGAATCAATATTAACGCCAAAATATGCAATCTTTAATGACCTGACAACAGTATCGTAACTATATCCTTTCTTAATAAGTCTATTTATAGGTATACCTGTATATGATACGTTTGTGTTTGTCAAAGCCTCCTATCTAACTTTTAGAAGACGCAGACATTTTATATATGTATAAATAGTACTTCATTTTATAATGTATGATATAGTTTATCTATGCATGTTAAATATCTCTTACAATTCTGTATAGAATGACTCTCAAAATATGTGGTATTGTTTTACTATTTATATATATATTGTACTTGTTGAGAGAGGAGACTTTAATAAAATATTGAATTAAATTGAAATGAATTGTTTGTATTCATTTTTAAATACTGTTGTGCAAATTTTGATTTTTTAAACATTCACATAACATTGATACCTTGGTAATTGTTGACAAAAATGCGATGCGCATGTCGGAGTATTGAATGTAAAGAGGAACATGACTAGTATTCAGAAGGCGAATTAAGCAGAAACTGTGAGTCCATTCTAAACACCCGAGTCTACCCCTGTTTTTATATTTTTTTTGTTAAAAGGCTATACGTTGCTTTTCCGGTTTTCTATGAATTAGTTTTATATTTTGTCTTTTGAAGTGTTTTCACTGCAAACTTTTGAATCTGGTAAAGTTTTAAGATAGAGAATATTAGGACGGTTTTGGAATTTCCTGATATCAAGATAAAGACCAGAAACATATGTAAATCTGCTATAATATGATAAATTATCGCATACAATTTCCAAAAAAAGCTGACATACCATGGCGGGTGTCATAAGCAAATAATGAAAACTATAGGCACAGTTAAATTATTTTGGATGTAGAATTATATCCCTTAGACATTCAGATTTTGTTAACGTTAAACTTAAATAATAAAAAAATACTGCTCAGTGTCATTATCAATATCATTTATATTAGATTCACATAAGCTTATCGATGACCTTAGCTTGTATATGGTTATTCTCTTTAGGCTGAGGTTTTTTTACAAGCAAATGACGATGTAACCACTGTTCCTGGTTAAGAGAAGACTGGCGGTTATTTACAGAGGGCCGTCATCCCGATTTCCCGACAAAATAAAGCATTATTTCCCGGATCCTGAAAATTAATCATTAATTCCCGAGGCCCGATAAGTGTAAATCCCGAATTCCCGCGAAAATAAAGGCCCGATCCCGAATTACCGCAAAAATAAAGGCCTAATATCGATGTCCTCAAAAAGGTCCTTATTACACGTTCAACATCATGACATTCCTAATATCCCTGTCCTAGGTCAGATTTCTGACTTCAGTGGTTGTCGTTGGTTGCTGGCTATATATTTTTTTTTCGTTCTTTTTTTTCATTAATAAAGCCGTTTGATTTACTAGTATGATTTTTTTTTTTAATTTTTCATGTCGGACCCTTTTATGGCTTACCTGCCGTTATACCATATTGGTATTGTTAATGAAGGTCAGTCGGAATTCAGTAGTTCCGTTTAATCCACGCCCTTTGGTTTCTGATGGATTGTTGAGTCATTAGCAATCTTACCACATATCCTTTTTAAGAAAAGTAACAGGCAATTCTTATTCAAATTTGTAGACAATACATGGATAGAGAAAATAGATAAAGCAATTATAAAGATGTATTTGGGAAAAGATGTTTTCGCACAGTAAAACGTAAAATCATGGAGAGTATCGACTCAGCTTAGATCAACATGTGCCGCGGAAGGGTTCAATGAAACTCAAGCAGAAGTGCATATATCAGCATTCATATGATAATAATATTGTAAAAATAACCAAAAGTTATATTCAACAGATGAAACTTAGTGAAACAGGATGCAAGTCTTAAAGAAGTTTGATACATGCTAGTCCTAAGTTACTTTTCCTACTTAAAGTCAAATGCAATGTTGTATAATAATTGAACCGTCAGCTCATTAACTGTCTTTTATAATAAATTCACTCAATACGGTTAATTAGTGATACTCCACAGTATCATACTTGGTATTTCAAAAGCCAATTAATTTTAAAAGAGTCCTTCGTTTGCAAAATAATTCATACACAAATTACTGAATTAAGATGAAGAGAAACGTGTAGTCTGTAGTAGATTTGTGTGTGAGAAACAATCCAAAATGAATTTTGTGTTAACTGTTATATTGTTTTCAGTTTTGCAAAATGAAGTTATAACGTTCTCAGAGAAAGAAATAAAAGTAGATGACACTGATTTATCAATACCATTGATAGATGATGGTGGTGCCCCACTGGTTGATATGCTGGATACGTCTAAGATTAATAGAAAATTATTAAAACACTTATGTCTGGAATGATACAGACCAATTTAAGAGACCTGATACAAAACATCGTTTTAGAAACTTTGGAAGGAAACTCTACAATGGATTGTATACGAAATGTTACATTACACGACCTTTCGTTAATGACAGCGAAGGAAGAATTAATAAAGCAGAGGAAGCAAAATTTAGCAGAAACTACAGTTCAAGTTGATGATAGATATGGTAAGCTTTTTATATTTTTTACAGACAAATACTGTAACTACTACTTCCTATTTTACTACTACTAATACTAATAATAATGATCAAATTAATAACAAGAATGATACAAGAGAGACGAAAGATACCAGAGGGACGGTCAAACTCACAGATCGAAAACAAACTGACAACGCCATGGCTAAAAATAAAAAGACAAACAGACAAATAATAGTACAGATGACACAACATAGAAAACTAAAGACTAAGCAACACAAACCCCGCCAAAAACTGGGGGTGATCTCAGGAGCTCCGGAATTGTAAGCAGATCCTGCTCCACATGTGGCACCCGTCGTGTTGCTTATGTTATTACAAACAAATAATAACTATAATATTGAGTTCCAATTAAACAACGAAATTTCAAACTATGTACTATCTAGATAAAGGCAGTTATATTATTAATTTTCAGAACCTGATTTTTTTCTTATTAAAGCGCATTTTTGAACTCACATAGTCGATGTTAATGCTATTAATAATTTTATAATGGATTTTATGTTTTGCCATGGCAATTATTCACTATGTTTATTTAAATTTATATTTAATATTGAATTTATATGTTTACAAAATTTAATTATTTTCTAAAACTCTCAGTTTAAGTCATCTAGTCTTTTAAATGTCTAGTAATTCTTTAAATTTGTGTTCTACTCTTTCAAGGATTTTTCAAAATTGCTGTGATGCATTAATTTCTACCACGCTGTCGATTCATTTTCTGGTTGACAGTTTTTTTTTCTTTTTTTTATTAGGTAACGTATATCCGTAAAAAGGAAACGCTTCAAGTTATGTTCAATTATGCAACCGGCCAAATAAGCATGTCACCAACTAGATGTTTCGTACGGCGAACTATTTAGTTAAATATATTTATTTATGTACATTAATTAATACCGGAAATACAGAAATTGTTCCGTAAATTCAGGATTCATTATTTATTTTTGGGTACAAATATTTGTGTATTCCGTCAGTATAAATAAACTATAGTTGAATATTAATTAAAAAAAAACTTTTTTTGTATAAAATCCAAATCCATGAATTCAAATATTCACTTTTTTCTTCAATCAAAATAGTTATCACGAAAAGAAATTCACCAAAAGATATGAAAATCGGTTTCTGTTTGCCTTTTCTAAAGACAATAGAATTATATAAAATATTTGTTTTGATATAAATGTAACTGAAATGAACATTTAAAACCAATGGTTATTTTTACTCGCACTTTTAAGAAAATGTCTCAACAAAATAGTATACTTTATAAAAAAAAAGGTGTGTTAAAAAATATACGGTATCGTGATTAAATCTTATGACAAATAGAGAAACAATTTAGCGCAAATACCATGCTAAAGGTTTGTTGCATGTATTTATTTGCCACAGTATTTATTGAACACCCGTATAACGTAACAGTACTCATATTGAACCGAGTACCCAGATTGCACCCATTTAGCAAAAATAGCTTTGGAAATCTTTCGGACGTTTTCTTAGAGACTAAGATATTTGTATTTTTATGATTTAACATTATGCACGTCATTTAACATAGCTCAATATATCTAAACATAGACAAAACGGCCACAGTATGTACCAACATATGAAGTATTCAGAGGAAAAGTAAAATCTACGGAAACGTCGCCATGCGACGTCCACCAAGGTCAACTTTTAAAAATCAGCAATTAGAATATGTCACAGGCATCCATTTTTTAAAAAATAAATAGTAAGCATGGAATATTCAGATATTGTTATAAATATTTGGACAAATAAAACAAAACATAAATTATTCTATTATTACGGACGTGAATTAAATCATGGA